TCTGGGGTGATTTTGCACAGTTCTCATTGATCAAATTGAAGAATGTGGCTGATAAGAGGATCTCTAATCCGGATAAGTGCCCTGTTCCGTCTGAAGAGAATCATCACCGTGACACATGCCACAAACTCGACTTATATTCTACATGGCATTCGACGACTGCCGTAAGGCGCAATCCGTGAAGCCTTGCCATACGCGTAATCACGAACTATTTTGATCAAACCATCGCAGAAATGCAACGGTCGGTCCATTGCAAATCTCGACACGCTTCCGGGCGATACTGCCATCAGTGAGTACTTTTTCAAGCGGTCGTCATAGTCATACCACAATCATCAATAAGCTATCTCGCTTGCCAAATTATACCCATGGAAAATTCAATAAATCGAGAAGCTTGGCAAGATGCTTCTTTCCAAAAATGCGGGCTTGACAACGGTACATGCCGTGATCTTCATTGTATTTTCCTCTTTGCAGCTCTCTTACCTAACCCGAGCCTTTGTTGTACATACACGGTACGGTCGTCGGATAGTTGTGATTCCAGCCAGAAGTCCCTCATGGGTCCATGATAAGCAAGGGAGCCTGGCAGAAGTGGAAGTACCCACGATCCCTACCGGGGCCGAGGCCATCCATGGGGGCGTTTATACTTTGACATTGAGATACTCTGTACTTACTCCGTACCTTAGGAGACGCCTGGACACCTTTTGGGGCCCTCGAAGATTGGGGCCCAATAGCAAAATTGTCAAGGTAAAGACATTACAGAAGTCGCACCGTAGCTCATCGCCCACGCCAATGCTTATTGGCGCTGTTTCGGGTGGGGTTGCAGCTGAAGTTCATACCGAGAAATTACCATTTTCCAAGTTGGATCGGTCCTCTCCTTTCCAGGTCGCACAGGAGAGGGTCCGATATGCGGCAATACAACGGCAATGGCGAGCAAACCAGCGAGCCTTATGAATGGGTCTGTCTCTATAGCTTTGAGGAGCCAACAAGTCTATACTGTGTATTTGAGACGGAAGAAGCAGACGCAAGTACCTGCAAGTATTGACCTTTCGAGACCCCGTAGGGCTCGTGACAAACCAAAGTGACGGCTAGTCCTGAGTGGCTCTAGGCCATCCTACCAAGCTGTGAGCGCTGTGAGATAGCGCAGTGAGAGTAGATCGCATTTTCCATTCTCGACAACCCTAGTCGCTCCACATCTTCCAGGCGAGAATTGTACCGAATGCCGACTGAGATAATACGTACAGATCAATGGTCCCAGCATGTAGATACGATAGGAAACATCAGACCTTTGAAGCTCATGATGTTTCGAGGATTTTACCACCTCGTCTACATGCTTTTCCCTCAAACAGGGCTATCAGGTCTGTCCCAGGCACAAAATTCATTCCCAGAATCTCATCTCACCGCTGCATCTGGTTTCCTCTCTAACTACCTAAATTTAGTTCCCCATGTTTCTTTGGTGGAGAACTGATCGCGATCTATCCGCAGTCGCAGGGCTATTTGGAGACGAGATCCAGCTTTCCAAGTTCTAGTTAAGCGCTACGACTTAGTTTGCTACAAAACTCCAGAAATACCTTCAGCAAAGATCACATGCCGCCGATGCTGGGTCAACGGAGAAAGATGCGAGTCCACAACGGTTCGCGTATGAAGTCTTCATATGGCAAAGGTGATCTGGACAGGCCGAAACCCTGATTTCTGCAAACCACTTCTTGCGAGCACACGCAACGAACGCAGATCTAGCGTCACTTGTGGATAATCACAAACTGTGAGGGAGGGTGGTCAAATGGGAATCCTTACAGGTGTGACACATTTACGCAAAGAGGTGCCTCTTGGATGTTGCATGAAGCACAACTTCAACCGTCTCGAGTCCATCTCGGCGATCATGAGGTGGTTTTTGCATTGCTGTTCATACGCTATCGACCTCAGGCGCAGCATGGGTCATCGTGACGCGCTTACTGCTTCCCAAAGAGGTATTGTGAGCAATCTGCCCTACGGCCGGCGTCTTGACGGATACTGCAACCAAGTGACGCGACCATTGGGCCACTCTTCAAATACGAGCCTGTCCAGAAAGGTCTTTTTGTTCTTAGTCCTGATAGTCCCTTTGCACCAGCGCGTGGCTGCAGTACGATACACCAACCGATGGGTTATACTAAACCAGAAAAGGGCTGCCTTAGTGATAGCTCATTGTCAGAACGGCGTGAGCTCACAGCCTCTCATATTCACTTCTAGCTCACTGTTTACCTGAAAACCCGTGGAGATTTTTCGGGAGCCAACGGTAGCACGTCCACCGCTCAGCAAGCAATGACTCGTCCTACCTGCCGATCTCCCGCTCCATGTTAATGCGCCCAAAATATAGTGCAGGACAGAAAATAGTATTGGATTGCGCTATACCGTAGGCTAACCTTCCAGCCCTCTCTGGGCAGCATCTGTGGGCCAGTGGCTTTCCATTTCTTGCACAACAATACCGAAAATGCTAGTTTAGTGCGTTCCCGTGACAGGTCGCTACGGACCGAAGATCGGGCGGGCTCGGATACACCGTCGCAAGAGCAAGGTTGGCCCTTTGAGAATATACACCGCTGCTACCAATACCGGATTGTTATGGCAAGTATTTGAGCATATCATTGTCTCGGTCCCTTGATAGGTTCGTCGCTACTGAACTAGTCTGTTTGAATATCAGGTTTGGGCAGCGATGCACGAAAATCCTGGATGCATCTAATAGGATGGGAGAATTTATACAAGTTGACACATGAGAGAAGCAATACATGGTTCCATTCTGGCAAGACGACCATGTAACTAATATGACCATAACTCTCCTGCAAGGACATTTACTTGAGGCACTATTTTCCATAGCTATATCGTATTTCATCCCAAATGGGAAGGTTTAACAGAAACAGAAAAGTGCGAGCACGCCATGATGGCCTTGTGATACTTGGAAGCCAAGAAAAGGTTTATACCAAAATGTAATTAGACATGGAGCATCTGCCTCGATTCACAAAGAGACACCTCTTTAATAAACAATATTTTGTCGCCCATTGGCTAGGAACAGTGCTTATGTTGTGATCAAGATTACATGCATTTTCGTCGGCATATTAAGCGAGTATTGCACCAAGACATATTTGGCCATGAGGCAGAATATCAGATACGGTGAGCTGATGATTCTGAGAAGCTACTTCGTATTTTCACAATACTTTTCGGGAACACAGTGAAAACCCATACCTCAATGGAAAGCTGAGCTCAGTAAATTTGGGCGTTGCGCCATGGAGGACTGCCTCAAGTCGATTCGCGTCAATGAAGGTGTGATTTGATCGGCCTTTGACGTGAACTTGCAGCCTCTGCTCTGTCTTCCCAATTATTGAGGCGCCTACACCAGCGCAGCACTACGGAACCGCATATTGAAGTTAAAGAAATTTCGGATCGGCACAATAGTTGTCGCGCCTTCGAATAACAGACTTCAGGTCTCGGACAAAACAGAGAACATACCAACCCCTGGTTCTCATCCAATACTGTGTAGTCATAGGTACGCCGTAGTAGGTCGGTAAGTATGTGTCCCTTGTCACCCGGCCGCTTCGCCGCGCGCCGTGATTCCTCCTACACCCTGGTGATCTGCGTCCAGAGCTGGGCGCATGCGGGGTCGGAGTGAATGCCCTGTTTCTGTCCTCGTGCATGTACCATAGAAAAACCCTGTCATGTCTTTCTTGTACACAGTAGTAGCAAAGTATGAGGCGGCGCAGGCTCCGAGATATTTTCCAGGGTGGTATGCTTTCTGCGAGACGAAGGGGCAAGCCTCATTATTGAATCATCTTCAAATCATCTGTATTCAATTGCTTCAATCTTACTCGAGACTCCAGGATGATGTATGGCTCGAACATAGAAGACAGCTCTACTCGCGTTAGTATGATTGTATGATATAGCATTACAACCTTTCCCAACTCCCGGGTTCGCAACCCGATACAGCAAATCTGCACCATTGAAATTCTGCATATGCTTTATGTATGAAGAAGTCTGTCTGTATTGCTTTTTTTTTTTCTGGGATACTCTATTCTGTCTTGTGACACATTCTACTCGGCTGTCAACGGCCACGATATTGAGTATCGCATATCCTTATCTCCCAGAAGACCCCGGTCCGAGTATCTTCAAGGTTCGCCGCGCCAGTTGCTCCTTGAGAGCGCTTAATTATTGCCAATCAGGCGATCGCAAGACAGGGCTATGGGTTGTGTAATATGCTTTTTCCATTGCAAGCGAAGAAAGAATTTGCTTCGAGGGTTGAGGGTTTACGTACAAGACAAGCCAGGGTTTGAAATGATCACAAATGTCGAACTCGGCGGCGGGGGCCATCCAGATATGAATATGCAGTCTGCCCGCCCCCACCCTTTTGCACGTCTGCGCTGCGGACCGGGGGCTCGGGCATGCTGTCCGGATCAGGCAGGAGATTTTGACATGAAGCATACGTAATGATGCTGCTGGATGATAAGCTTACTTAATAAGACTTGATCGATCTCGAAAAGGACGATGGTCAGAGATAAGCGTTTTCAAAGTAAACTTTGACCTCGTGCCCGTTTTTCTGCAATTGACATGGCTGAACGCGGATTCTAATGTAGCTTGCCTGTAAATATGCATCCGCACAGCCATACACACGTGGGATTTTGACACAAGGTCAGTGCAGCCATGGGTTGTAATAGACTAAATAAATTAAATGTGTACGAGCTCACTGCTTGACACGATATATGCCGACAATATATGTGATAGGACAACCTTTCGTAAGTCCCGTGATCTCTGGATTCTTGTCATGACACAAATCGTCGAACGTGCTTTGACCTTTCTTTTGCCTCCTGGTCATATATCCTCAGCACACTTTTGGCTGAGCGCTTTCATCGCCATTAACAAGTAGCTATATCAAAGGCATTAAGACTTAATGTCAGCAATGCATTGTAACCCATTACCCGCATTAGAACCATTCACTCGTAGATCTTGGTTTCATCTTGGCACGTCAACGTCTTTGCAGCTGTCAAAGCTCAGTCCACCGGCTCGAGCTCTTTGCTCATGAACACACACTTGATGCCCCAACGCTTTCCTGTAGGGTCAATTTCATGGTATGCGTTGAGCCTATGTCCATAGATGGTGTACCCTCGCTTTGTGTACCAATCCTGGTTTGTTGGCTTGGTGTTGAAGAATTAGCCGACATATTCCTTGACAAAGTAATCTCACGACTTACCTTGGGAATCTCTGTCAAGCCCATGGCTACCCTGCGGGGATTCTCATGGTACATTTCATCATTGCTGATTGTCGATAGTGTAATTGTCTTGGCTCGAAAAACTGTCCTAGCTATTCTATTTCCGTGTCAGCTCATGTCACTAAATGGTCAGCTCCGTATGCACAATGAATCTCACCTCTCACAGGCTACCATTGCAGCAGCGCCTAGCCCGCCACGCTGAAGGCTTCTGGAGATATAGAAGGAGTTGATTGAGTATACACCATCAGCAGCTGAAGCCCGGAGCTCTGGAAAGGTTGTGACCACGTCCAAGGAGATGTGCCCGATTGGGATGAACTTGTCGAACTGCGGGTCAGGAGTGTGTGGGCGGGACAAGACCACTCTGCACGTATCCGCTAGAGGCGTAGACTCATCTGGGAACGCTTTGATATGCTTCTGCAGACGGGACGATGTTTCTAGGTGTGAGGGTGTGAGAGCCTATAATTAGGTCAGCACAATGGGTATCCTGATTACTTGCCGGATAGACTTCTGGGGGATAGGGCGATTTGACGTTGCATAGCACATTTAGATGCATCGGGATATGAAATGCAGTATACAATATGCCTTTCTGTGCCTTTTGGGGAAATCAACTCGTGGTTGATATCTAATTTCTTTTGCAAGACCGGTCATACTCAGATGTGCATGAAAACTCCCAATATGATGACCATGAGTTGCTAGGCGAGATTGGCAAGATGGTGGCTAATTTTACTTACGATCCAATGCATACCGATCTTTCCTGATTGCTGAAGGTCTTTCCACTCGTCGACTTTAGCTATCTTCCAGCCACACGCGATCCTCTGCAATCGTAAACGTTCCACATGAGCCGTGGAGTCTGGATCCCATGGTATCAATGCAATCGACTGAGAAGCTTGCTTCTCAATTTCGGCTTTTGATATTGACGGTCGGGAGATCACCTCAGAAACCATTACAGGATCTGGGACGGTGCTTTCCGTGTTTTTAGACATTTCGGGCATGTTGGATCAATATGGAACGCTAATCGATCTGGTAGTGCTAGTACTTAAAAAGTCAAGATGAATAAGAAACAATTCATAGAAGTAGAGTAACACCAAGATTATAGTAAAGGGGTGTATAAATTACAAAAACAGTATTGCCATGGGCTGCGGCATGGAGGTTGATGCAAACGTGGCTTGTCCTAGATCCTCCGATAAACAGACATGATATGACTCATTACCAATATCTATGAGTCAATACCTGGCTACCCGGACCAGCGTTTTCAAACAGTAAATTTCTCATGTATACTATCAGTGTAAACACTAGATAGCAACATATGATTGATGCCGTGACTTGTGTGATAAAAGTATATGACCTCGGCCGCCCGATAGCGGCCGGCAAGGTTTTGAGCAGACGCATGATTGATTGGACCTACAAAGGGCGCATTCATTTGAATCAACATATTGTACAAGCTTGGGGCCATACAGTGATCTAACTTTCTGCGACCCGACGCTCAAGAATACCGTCCTCCAGACCGAGGAATTGTGATCGCGATTATGATTGAGGTCGCTTCGTGTCCATCCATTCTTGAACAATACCCTTGTAGTCACTGGGCATGTACCGTCCACAAATCTCAGACCAGAACCCATCTCTCTTGTACCTTCTGAATGGATTCAATCCGAGATCCTGCATGAGAAGATCCATATATGGTAGACAATCGAATGTGAGGTCGGGGCACCTTTCGCCGCACCCTCCAGCAGTTGGTGGGTGTCTGATGCGTGTATATTCGTTATGGAGAATAGTCTCATACATGACTCTGGCAAAGTCAATGTTTGACGTCTTCAGTGTGTTTATCTCATTAGAAAAGAATGCAGTGATCCACAGGGCTTGCAGTTGCGAGATCATGACAGCAGTCAACGCAAGGTGCGAGCCAATGAATGCAAGATTCTTATGACGCAGAGTGTCGCCGTCGGCGGGAATGATGAATCGGTACAGCTGAAAGCGGTGTTCTGTCTGTAAACACCTGTTGGAAACATCGAGTGTAGCTTGTGGCGTCTCGCGCGTCCTGATTATCCGAGGCGGCTGTCTCAAGGCAGGCATCCGATGATATATCTCCTTGCGCGCCATTGCCACTTGATTCATAACTTCCGTTTCACGAGTGTTAAGGCCAATCTTCGAGTTTGTTCCATTGCGAAGAAATTGTATTGATGGTTTTTGAATCCAACCGGTACAACAGACTAGGGCGTCAGCATCGAGTGTTGTATCATCTGAAAGGTGCACTCTGCCCTCGGATAACCGTCCGACATCCGCTATGTGGATAGTGATCCGGCCTTGACGGACCAGATCGAACCAAGAGGATGAATAGTTGTGAATGCTTAATGAATTTCCCATCCAGAACGGATTCACCCAAGGTTTCAGCTTTTGCGTCTCGGGGTGATCATTGTAACGATGAGACTTGTATGCGTAGTATTGGAGAAGCCTCCAGAATGCAGACACAAATATTCTCCCAAGCCTGGTTTCGTGTAGGAAGCGTCGTATCCAGCCAGTCAGCCCCTTCTTCTCCGTCCAGATACATGGATCGAACCAAGTAGCAAACCTCGTGGAGGCCAGGCGTTGTATGGATAATTTCAAGGGCGAAAATAACACCGGCCAGACCCAACTAGGACCACCGCCAGACGGCCTGATAATCATGTGCGCCTGCGCACCAGCTTCGGCCACCGAGAAGCATGCATCCCATGCCGACTTGTTGCCACCGATGACAACGACATGCTTGGCTTGTTTCAATGAGTTTGAACGTTGGCTAAGCTCTTTTGCGTGGAACAAGTCGCGATTGAATAAATCCTGTCCCGAAAACGTGGGTATGTAGGGTTTTGATGTTAAACCAGTAGCCACGACCATCTTGCGAGCTATAACTCGTTCGATTGGAGGTCTAGATGGTTTAAGATCTACTGAAACCACCTGCAACAGCCAGTCTCCGCTGTCGAGGAGCTCTGCCGACTCGACCGTATGCCCAAGACGCAGCCGCGAGGCTATGCCAAAGTGATTGGCAAATTGTTCAAGGTAGTCGTGGACAGCGTCTCCAGAGATGTGCTCCCCTGGCCGGACGTCGAATCTCCCAGGACTCATGGGAAAGTCCGAGAATTCATATGATCCAAGTAGATTGTTCGTTTTCAGGCCTGGGTACAGCCGCTCTTTCGCCCACACGCCGCCGACTGACTTGGCGGAATCGAGCACCAACATGGATGCGTTGGGATGCACCTCTAGATGAGCTTTGGCCATGGCCAATCCATGCCATCCTGGAAAGTCAGACAAGACTCTTGGAAGTAATTGGGTGTCACTCACCTGCTCCAATGACTGCAAGATCGAAATGCTCCATTCCTTCATATGCTCACGGGGTTTTTCTTTGGAAGGGGCTCACAAACCTGAGTGTCAACATCTCTGTTCTTTATCTTGGATATCGCAGTACGAAACGAAAAGCCGTGGTACAATGCCGAAGACAGCCCCTTGATTACAGTGAGGGGTCCCATATCATTCTAATCCAGTCAAGCGGGGGTTCGGAGCAAAGCTTCTTACAATAAAGCAGAACAACAGGAGATGGACAAAAATGGACCATGCACCTATTTTCTGACAGCCGACTAAATAGTGAGCGTGTTTTGGTGTTTACGTCTGTGTATTTTAGGTTCAACCAGCAAGAACGTAAAAGCTTCGCGTCAATGCAAAAACTGCCAAGCCTGACTAACATGCCATGGGAAGACAAAATTGTTCGAAGTGATTTCATCACGTTATACATTGGGTCAAGTTTTGAAGCAGTCGAAACCAGAAACCCATGAATTGAAAGAAGATTGGGCATTGAGGTTGTTTCAATATGAAGTGGGGTAAACATTGAGATGCTTATTACATGTCGGTCGCGGAACCGTCCACACTGACTGTGCAGACAAAAGTGCATTGATAGGGTGACAGTGCCCACCCAGAGTGATGTTACTCTTTTACAGAGTCAGCAACGAGAATTTTCAATATACAAATCGTCTACGAGCCACAATCTATATTGCAAATTCGGGAATTCTATTTTACGGTTCGAGTCCCTCCCATGTACTGCTTCTTCGCTCAAGCCACGACGAAATATGCACCCTGTTCTCGCGCTTTAAGCGGCCAGGAATCAATTACTATGATATCATGTGATCGTTCAATAAGCATCAGACAATGCATTGTGGTGAGAAACCAGAGTCGACAAAGAGAACTTTCCAAACAAAGATCAGATCATGACCACGACAAGTTCGGGGAAAGCACGTGTACGTGTCTTTGTTCCTTAGCTATATATACTCGGCGTATGTTTCCAATATGGATCCGAAAGGAAGACATACATTGCATGCATCAATTATGAACTCGAATATGAGCAACATGAAAGGCGATTTAGTTGTATCCTTCCTTTCTCCAAGCTCACCCCCCATTTCCAGTATTGCATCTAGCCCGTTAGAGTCAGTGTGCTCGACCAAAGACGATTTACCCGAGCAGAATCTTGCAGCAAAGGTATACCTCCAATGTCAAAGACTATGGGAAAGTTCGGAAATCAAGATCGGAGACGAAATCCAGACTGCCAGGCATCGAAGCTTTCCCATCACAGTTTCGGATGAGAATGGCAGTGATGAGTTCATTTTTCAAGTTCCAAACGATACGTCTGACATTGAACTTACGGCCGCTGTGTACAACTACATCCACCAGGAGCTTGATCTCAAGGCTAACACGCCTAGGGTCCATCACAAGAACAGCGGCTTTGATGGGCCTGTAGGCCACCCATATCTGGTCTTCTCTCGCCTACCGGGTCTTTCCCTCCAAGAAACTTGGCCAAATCTCACTCATGAACAGAGACTATCTGTCGCTCGTCAGGTCGGCGAATTATACCTTGATCTCCAATCCGCAACCAACTCGCACTGCGGACTGTTCAAGGTGCCCATGGATAGATATGGCCATAGCATGGAAGGTAGTGTTCTCCTCGAGGCCTTTGGACAACAGCGCTATCATCTTGAAAATACCGAAAGAGACTCGATCGAGCTCGAGGAAGATGGTCTAGTTAACCTTAATAATCTACGTAAAGACCCGCCTGGTCTGTCCGCACGAGACATGGCGATTCTGACATTTGAAAGGCGGAAATATTATTCTTCGGCATCTCGGCGACAGTGGTTGGAAGAATACACGGACAAAGCCGTTGACATGATCAAAGCGATTACTCACAAAGGCTTACTGGACGACACCATTTGCATTTGGCACCGTAATATCTCTGCTGAGAATATCTTGATAGAACGAGATGCTAATGGCGAACCCAAGATCACGGGGCTACTGGGCTGGGACGGTGCCGGATTCGCACCTCGCTTCATGACCTGCCGCGCTCCACAGTGGCTCTGGACGCGCGTGGGAACCAAAGTTGTACGATTTGCGCCTGGGCCATGTGACGGCAACATACATGTCAGCAAAGGGTATCCCGAGATGGACGAGGAGCCCTTCGAGGCCTTTGAGCCGACAAAATCTGAAGCGAAGAAAATCAAGGCTGCATTCGACGAGGCCGTTGGAGAGGTATTCACAAGGGCAGCTTACGACACTCATATGATTATTGCTCGGCGCCTAATGCATGTAGCAGCTTGCAGCGTTTGGGATCTAGACCATACTCAAGAATTAGCTATGATATTCGCGGAATGGGAGCATCGAAAGATTCGAGCAGAGAAGCTGAAAGAGGGGGTTCGCAACATGTTGGACCGTGGTGAAGTCCGTAGGCGGGGCAGCCTGTAATGATAGACTCCTTGTAAAGTAGAAGCACGGTTAAGCATTGAAGAAAGCACAAGTCACAAGGGGGGCAAGTTTCGAATACGCTTCACAGAGTGCTGATGCATAAATATCTCTATTGTTAAATGCCAGTCAAGTCATAAGTCGTTTCATAATTCTTTAGTGACAATCAAGTATCGACCCGCAATAACTTTTTGTTGTTCCATATTCGCTTAAACGCCAATGGCCTTGGCGATGGCCTCACCGACTCCCTTTGCGCTGGCAGGGTTCTGGCCGGTGATGAACTTGCCGCCGTCGACACTGATGACGAGCTCGCCCCATGCCTGGTCGGCCTTCTTGTAGACGCCACCGGCCTCCTTGATCTTGTCCTCGAGCAGTACGGGCATGAGCTTGGTCATGCCGGCCTGGTCCTCCTCTTCATTGGAGAAGCCAGTGGCCTCCTTGCCGGCGAGCAGGTGTTGGCCATTGGGCAGCTTGACGTTGGTAAAAACAATGGGACCGTGGCAGACGGCGGCGACAGGCTTGCCAGCAGCGACGAACTCGTTGATCAGGGCGATGCTGTCCTTGTCCGTGGCGAGATCGAACATGGGGCCGTGGCCACCGGGGTAGAAGAGAGCAGCAAACTCGGACGAGCGACCGAGGTAGTCGGAGAGCTTGCCCGTGTTCTTCCACAGGGCCTCCTTGGTCTTTAGGAAGTTGACGGATGAGGGGTCCTGCTTGAAAGCGTCGACAGAGGCCTGGTCGAGTGGTGCCTCACCACCCTTGGGCGAGACAATGGTGATCTCGGTCTTGGGCTCGAGGACATCGTAGGGGTGAGCGAGCTCAGGCTGGGTTTTGGGGGAAAACTTTGTGTTAGCGGGGGCCCTTTTGAGCGCGCGGACTGACTTTGCGGGAGACAGGCGAAATATCAATCACTCACCAGGTACCAGCCCGTCTTGTGGTCGGCGTCGATTTGGCCGAAGGAGGTAAGAACGACGAGAACCTTGGGTGCCATTTTTGTTATGGTGTATGATTTGAGAGTTTCTAAATCGTAGTGACAAGGTGATGAGGCGCTTCTAGCAAGTGTTCAATGTTGTTTTATTGGGGTATCAATGGTATGGATGCTAGAAAACAGAACAGAAGTGCTAATTACGATTAGCAGGAAGCTTGTATATATATACAAAAGCAGACCCAAACCCAATACGATGCGATTCTTTCAAGCTAATACTGCAAATAGAGATGGATCAGCCATTAAACCAGCTGTAGCCGACGGTTTGTCAGCATACTCCATCAGGCAAGCATTGCAAAGAACCAACAAAGAAGCTTTCCGAAATGGAAGAAACTTCTTTTCATCATGCGAGCCGACATCCATCTCCTGGGACCCAATGACGTTTATCCTCTTCCAGAGCTTCCGAGGCTTCAGCTACCCGAACTAAGCTTCTTTCGGGGGGGCAGCCCCTCCACGACAGTTTTGCACTCGAGATATGGGGGGCAGCAGGGGGGCGTCAATGTCAAATACCCCGCCGACGTAATGCAATTGCGGCCGCTGCTTGTGTTGACTTTTGTTGACCAGAGATTGAGTGAGAACTGAAGGGATATGGTCAAAAACATTGGAACATCCCTGGTATATACGTACATACTGGTGACGGTATGTAGCACAGTTCTCAATCTTGACTACGATTGACATGCCATCATCTCAGGGCCGATCGATGTGTATCTGTGAGCAAGCAAAAAGATGACGGCACCTCGTTCGTATCGATGCACATCTTGCCCATCAGGGTAACTCACGTGGGAACGCGAGAGCCGCATCGGCAGATGTCAGGTTGTCATGATAATTCCCCACTGTACTTTGCACATGTTGAGGCTATCAATTGATCCCCCAGTCATCTTTCTGAGCATGACTAACAATGGTTATTAGTCTTGTAGTGTACTAGGAGACCACTGGAATACTAAAACAGTGAAGAACCAGGGCTTCCTAGCTTCCAGGAACTGTGGATAAATCCTGGCCCGGTATCTGTAACCTCTCGTCGGTGAACACACTCTTAACGCCGAAATAATGACTGAATACTTGTCCCTTTAACTGGGGAGAAAGCTGGGGGAGATCCATACCAATGTTTAACGCCGTCGGGGATATAATTGTCGACTCCTTGACGTGAACTCGTTCTTTTCAACGGCTGCCATAGAGGTCATGATGTACCATATGGTACACTAATTACATCATGCTAAAATAAAAAACTTGGACGTTGTACCATTGCACTGCAATCATTGCTCAATCTCAACAGTCCGCCGGAACGCAGCAATAAAACAAATTACAGGATGAAATTCTCAAACGTGGACCACTCATTTTGCGCTGCAAAACGCTACTGTGCATATGCATCGAGTCAACGCTTTCTTGGTTGCATTATTGGAATATATGACCCTCTATAACTTGGCGTACCATACATGCAGAGGTCCATGTCGAATAAGAGCTGCAGATTTGTGACGCTGGAAAACAAAATGGAGTACAGCTACTACTAACATGACTCGCTCCTTAGCGATATCCAGCAACGAATACGATCAATCATCAATCTCGGCGCGTGCGATTGGTCTTCCGGGAAATTGTCGGTATCGTAACTGACGGCCTTTTCTTTCCCCGAAGCATCGCTCATACGGATGATGGACTCGCATCAATATGGTACAGCTGTGGCTCCTTTTCTCCCTTCTTACGGAGGATATATCGTCGAAACCACCACGGCAGCACCTCTCTGAACTGATAGCTAGCATGGCGTCTGGTGGAGACATTGAACACGCCGTCCAGCTCCTCCAACGTACGTTTGCTCGTCTCGGGAACGAACAAGAATATGGCAACGAGGCACACAATATTCAGTGCAGAAAAGAGCCCAAACGATCCTTGAGGCTTGAGGCCTTGCAACATGGGCGGGAAAGTCAAGGCGACAACCACTGCCCAAAAGTTGTTGGTGGCGACGGCCCACGACATTCCTACTTCACGATGTGAGAGCGGAAAGACCTCTGACGAGTAGACAAAGGCGCATGGTCCTTCGCCCGGGCCGTAGAAAGCCACGTACAGGTAGATGAAGAGCGCTATCAACCCAATGTGCGCAGGGCTTTCAGCGGGGACATAGAATGCCATGCCGGCAGCAAGCAATGTCCAGCACATGTTTGGGAATGTGGCTAGGAGCAAGGCACGTCTTCCCCAAGTGTCGATGGTGTACAAGGCCGGTATGGCGAACACAAACATGGCCATGCCAAACCCCCAAGAGGCGAGGAGAGCCACTTTGTTGCTGGCGCCAGCTTGTGAGAAGATGGTCGACGAGTAAAATGCCATAATGTTTACTAATCATGTTTAGTGTCCAGTACTACAAATTGCGAGTCCAGGTTGACTTACTTCCACAAAATTGTTGCGAGGCCATGATGATACCAGATGCTTGTGCAGCCCGACGATTTCGCGGCACAGTAAATAGCTCCATGGCTCGCGTGAAGAAACCGCCGCGAGCAGAACCAGTCGCTTTGATCAGGGCTTCCTCAACTTCGAGTTGCGCATGCAGATAATACATGTCGCGACACGCGAGAAGGGGTGATCCACGAAGTCTCAGCAATGACCTATAGGCCTTTTCATACTTGCCCTTTTTCATGAGCCAGCGAGGCGACTCGGGCGTCATGAATATGCCAATCAGTAGAGGAACAGCTGGGATGAAGGCGGAACCGAGCTGCAATCGCCACGCAATATCGCCTACATCAATGACGACGAGGTTGGCGGTGAAACCTAGCATTATTCCAAAGGCGACAAAGAGCTGCCAGGTCATTGTCAATGCACCACGGATGTTGGCAGGGGCATTCTCTGCCGAGAACACTGGAACTGTCACTTCCTTGAGACCCATTCCGATCCCGAGGAGAATGCGACAGACCAGAATTTGGACCCAAGACTGAGATACAGCCTGCCCAATGGGCGCAATGAGACTGAATATTGCGCCGACAAAGATCGTACCCCGGCGTCCTAGTAAGTCGTTCAATGGGTCTGAAAGCCAGCAAGCACTGGGACACCGAGTCAGTATGAAACCTAAAGAAGGTTGAGCGCCATATGCCAACTCACATGACACAAATAGCCATATACGGAGCACTGTTGATGGCACCGACAATCCAGGCATTTCTGGCACAGGTTCCGGCGAGCTCGCAAGCTTCTCCAGTCTCTGCAATGTCAAATACCTGCGGATATGATAGATTGGCACCGTTTGAACCCGTCTGGTCCCAACCTTGAATGGCTGCACCAATCGATGTCATGAAAATGGTAAAGTAGAGCGCTTTAGGGTGTCTCCAGCGATGCTCGGCCTCCACCCGCAGCACCTCGTGATCATCCGCCGTGAGCTCCGCTATCGATCGAGGTGCATGCGGTGTGCGGGCAACGAGGGCTCCCTTCTTGAAAGTCTCAAGTCTGTCGACCAGATTGTGCGCGGTACAGAACGCTTCGACATCGGAATTCAACTCGTCTTTGGTCTTGGCTGCCAAGGGGTTGGTGATCCTACTGAAGATCAGAATATAGCAAAGGTCAACCCGATACAAGATTCCACCTACTCGCCGGCAGTTTGGTGAGACGCATTATAATCGGACGAAGGTGCTGCATTATCTACATGGTCCAGTGCAAACTTTTCGGTGGGACTGTGGTCTTGGTTAGCGAAATGTTCTTCAATTACTTGTGATTGAAGTAACAAACCTGTCGATACGAGGATCTTGAGACTTCTCCATCTTGAATTTGAAGGCTTCCAATTCTGTGGCGTGACATTGATTGAGAACATCTGAAATCAAATGTTTGAAGACCTATCAACTTTATATATACCACGAAGCTTTCAGTCCGGGGAAATGCGGAGTAGCGAGGTTGGAACATGGGGAAAAGAAACAACAAATGCGGAGGAAGGACTAATCAGGTGCCAGCAACCGGTGTAACAGACCATACGCATGGTACGTCAAGCATAATCGTCGTCATTTTCCGCTCGAATCCGTAGACTTTGCTATGTTTACAACTACCATGATCATACAAGCACGCGCCATGAGACGCCCAATCCGATATCTTCAGCCGGTGGCGGCATCTTGGCGAGGCACAAGCATGTACCGATGGTGGGGCGAGGGCGGTGATATCGCCGAAACCATGAGTCGCGCTGGAAACGTACAATATAGTCTTGAGAGGCTGAATTCAGTGATATGCACTCTCGATGCACTAGTTGAGGTCTGACAAAGGGGCGATCGAACACATCAGGGTTCATGTCGAGGAGATACCATCTTGGCGCCGTAAACCGGTGCAAGTGCCGCAACAGCACAAGTTGAAGAGCCTGGACAATATGGTCGATTGTCTTGCGAACAATCAGTGATGATGCGTCATTTTTTTAGCATCAAGATTTCATTTGGATCTTGCAGGCATTGAATCCATGTCCCTGAAATTTGTTACACCACTCATGGCAATTAGTCTTCATAGCCATTAAGACATTCTTCGATTTTGGTCATGGTAAAGCAGTATAGTATGAGGATAGTCAGAGACTTTTGATAATGTTTTACATATTATAATTGTCTAGGAGAAGTTATCCCATGCATGATACTTCTTCCTAACTGTTGAGCATATCTCTTGGCATCTGTATGATATCTTGGAGTTCCTGATCAAACATTGGAGGCATTGCCCAAGACTGTCCCCACACATCGGCAATCTCCATTCGCGTCGGTTCATTATAGCCCAAGATTGTAGAGTCTGGGCTGCTGGGTACGAGTCCTTTCGATTGACATTAGCCGTGGACGAGTGTGGACATTTGACGGACTCACCGATGATATTCTTCAAAATGAAAGCCGCCCGCTTGGCTATAGGCTCAACAGCACCCATTGTTTCCAGTATCAATTTGGAGCTTTCTGCTTGCTGCCTCCACACTGGGCTAAGGCCGTTGTAGGGATCATAAATCAAGCAAGTCACATTCACAAAGACGGCCGTGACAAGCCAGTACGTTGCGTACCAAACAAGAGCCCCGGGCATTTCGCTTCGACCGTGACAGAATGTGTTGATGGACACAATGCACTCTTGCGCAGAGTTGATGCACCTCACTACTGCACTGTTTGCATCCGTCAGGACCAACGCTCTCCGGTTACGCACAACATCCAGCAAGAATGGTCGAGTCATTACGATTCGCAAATGCCATGATCGCCACAGCAGCACCGCCCGGGGTATCTCGAACCACGTGAATTCGGGGTCCAGTGCTGAATAAAAGTATAATGGAAGGCTCTGCTTCCATTTACTGACCTCGTCGTCCAAGACAAGAATTCGAGGTTGATCGGGGAGTTGTCTCTCCAACAGAGTTGTGTTGACAGTGCTGGATATCGCGGCCAACTTGCTCTGCCATATCAAAGACGAAGCTGCCGTTGGTTCATCGCGTGATGCGGGCAATGATTCAATGTCGACCGAGATGTCGCTGTCGTGAAGATTCTTGGGAGGTTTGATGTTTGTCCCATGAAGCTCCATCGTTGGTCGGCCAAATGTCAAGCGTGCCCCAGTATCAAAAATGTAGAGAGTCCACCAGACCCTACGTCGCACCTCCATGGTGAAGGGAGAAGAGGCTTTCTCGGAGAATTCTCGGTGCAGGCCTAAACCCAAGGCCAGGTTGTACGCGATGCCGAGCATTGTGAAGCCGCTGTTGGGCATATTTCTCTTTTGGGTGTAGTTTGCCAACAGTGCAAACGCCTGAACGAGCTGAAGTGATCCGCATTGCAAAATGTCTGCGCTAATATGCTCGCGGGCTCGGTTGAAGAAATAGATGTCGTAGTTGTTGGAACTTTGCGGACCGGCGAATGCGCCCAGCGCGAGTACAATGTTGAATAGTAGTGGCCAAGAGCCATCTTGTGATTTGGCTATCACACCCATGTTCTGGGCCCGAAAGTAGCCTTCGTGTAGGATCGGGTATGCTGAATGAAAGTGCTTGAAGTACCAGTCAATGCAACACTGCATGAACATTTGAGATGACGGGGGCTCGTGAGCAGTGAGCAGCTTTTCCGCACCAAACTCGTCTCGGTTTCCATCGCCAGAACCATCGGTGTTTGGGAAGAAATTTGCGATTGACTGTAAATACCGCAATAACGAATTGCCTGATTGAGGGCCCATGTAGCCAGAGCCCTTGGGATTAACCGTCAGCGACCCGATACCATCTGAGGATATCCTCAAACTCCTGATTTCGTTCCATTCGAGCGTATCCCATTTTTCGTCCTCCTGGTCGGCATTAGAGGGTGGAGCGACTGTGTTGTGTATTGTTTCGTCAATGCTATCTTCCAAGGGACCTGATGTCTCCGTTGTATGATCGAAACCCTCCTGGAGAGTGCTGTCGGGAGTGGTCTGCGTCTCAACCGTATGGACAGCCTGCGCCAGGTCAATGTGCGGAACAAACCTTCGCCAGGCAGCCTTCAGAAGCTGCACCTGTTTCCGGGCATCCCTGAGCTGCCTGATCATGACATGACGTTAGCAACTCGATGGCTGTATCAAGAGTGCGGAAAGAGCGCCAGGATGTCTTACCCTTCAAGCACGGCCAATCTTCCGTGAACGGATGTATAAGAGCACGGAGCTTGCAATCTCTGGCAGTACTGACATGGATTTGTGCCAGAACACTTGATTTTACGCCGCTTGCATTGATCACATGCTTTGTGCCGGGCTACGGTCTCGGGGACCGACCGCCGGCGAGATGGTGTATCAGACCCAGTATCTCCGTCTCTGCTACTCCGGCCGATTGTTTGCATGTTACCAAAACGATAGGGGCTAGGTATGGACTGTATGGAAGATCATCCAAGTACCTGGATGGGCACGGAATGAGGCACGACGGTGAAAATACCATCCTGCAGCGGTGCGGCGATTTCACCGAGAGTGCTTCTCCACGGCGGAACGGTCCATCTCTGGGTTCCCTAGTAGTGCGGGGATTGAGTTGGAGAGGGAGAAGCATGCTAACATACAGCCTCAGGACGCGACGTCTCCCACTTGCCGGGCATGACTCTCGATCGCGCGCTTGCATGACCGTAAGCCATGATGACTTTGCCATGGCGATTGGACTACATGTGTTGGAGGCTTGGCAAAGGCGCTCACGAATCTCGACGTTGTTGCCCAGCCTTAGCCTAACCTAGACAATTTCAGTGGGACGTCTGGACTCTGATGTTGGATTGCCGGCTCTAGTGCAAGTGCCCTGAAAGCGCAACCACAGCGTCGGAAAACTTTGTTGACAGCCGAGGGAAAGCACGCGGAAACTGATCACACATTTTTACGGATTGCTGGTAGCACAAGTGTGTTTTGTAGCGATCCCGATTCTAGTGATGTGTCCAGCTTGAGAATGATCTTCTTTGACTTATACAACACAGGGGGGGATGGCCGCCTACTCGGTAAGTATACAGAGCATCTTATTATATACAGTAGTACTATATGGCTAAGGTTAGAGTGTTTGGCCTTTTTACTAGCTACGTTTCGACTTTTCAATGTCAAGTCTCTGATGCTGATGGTCCGAAATTTAATGAGGTTCATATAAACTGGCCCTAGATACGCTGCACCAAAAATTGTAGTCACTCCAGGTTAGGTGTACAACATTCCTCCATTTGCGCATATAACATCGCCCGTGACCCATCGTGATCGCTCTTCGCATAGAAAGAGGATGATGTCTGAAACATCTTCTTCCGTTCCACATCTAGGTGCGGCCGGGACCTTTTTGTTTTGTTCCTCCATGCGGGCGAGATGAACTGGGCCCGCGGCGCGATACATGTCGGTATCGACTGGCCCGGGGTTCACAGCATTCACCGTGACACCATACTTGTGTCCCAGCTCGGTCGCCCAAACGCGTGTGAAGCCTTCGACTGCTGCTTTTGTTGCCGCATAAACCGATTGCGTCGCGTAGCCACCACGCGCTGATATCGACGACAAATTGACGATGCGACCACCTCGTGAGATATAAGGTAGCACGGCCTGAGTCATGAACAGGACGGCGCGCACATTGACCCCCATTAGCCGCTCGTACTCTTCTACCGTTATGTCCTCCAACGCAGTGTTACCACCTAGGCCTGCATTATTGACTAGAATGTCAATCTTGTCAACACCAAATCCCGTCAAGGCCGCGTGCAAAATAGTTGCCGGCGCCGTTGGCGCGGCTACATCACATCTCACGCACACGGCGGAGCTGCCTAGACGCTTGACATCTTCAACCAATGCGAGCGCCGCCTTTTCGGAAGACTCTGATACATAGTTGAAGGCAACCTTTGTCCATCAATATTCGCATCGCTAGAGACTGCAAGATTCTATAGCATGAGAGTTTTACTCACTTTTGCGCCTTGGGCGGCCAGTGTGCGCACAATTGCGGCACCGATACCTCTAGCAGCTCCCGTCACGAGCGCGACTTTGCCGTTTAAAGACATTCTGACGACTCAAGTGTATATAATTCAAGGTATTAATGAAAGGACGATAGATTTGCTGATGTACTTGTGTCTTGAAATAACAAACCTCATGGAATTGGAAAAGAAGCACATTATAAGAATAAAGACATACTCTGACATGCTCCCTGTGCTGCCAATGCCCGCGGATCGCAGCTCCACGGTATGATTCAAGAATACCGGCATGATCGCCGCCTTGGATTTCACGAAGAAAGGAGTGAGCGGACATTTTACGGCGGTCATCTGACTTGATTCTTGTTTAGAAAGATTCCGATATGCGTTGGTCCTCTCTTCGGGGTAAAGGCCGCTGTGGACTAGCTGATGAGCAACGTGCCGCCGACCGTCGCCACCACTACGGTTGCCGTCCCGCTGAGACTGATATTGCGGGTCTAGGTCATGTATATCAGACTGCCACAGCGTGTAAACTCTCGAGACAGATTTTCATACCATTACAATCCAATTCATTATTAGGCCTTTCAGACAACTGCTCGCATAAGATTTTACCATATCTGATTCTATTATTTCCCTCTTGTTTTACTCAATTCATCATGAGCACCTCACAATCCCTCGACATTCGAAGCCGGAAGCCCGAGAATCTCGGCGTCTGGACAAACCCAAAGCATGAGTTGCACCTTCAATCTGGACCGGTCCCAACGTTGAACGAGGGGCAGTGCTTAGTTCGTAAGCAACTTTCAGTGCTATTTCTCTTTTCTGGGCTATCTTATAAACAAATATCTTCCGCCATGGAGCTTCAAGATCTACCTCAAACTCTCTCATTCAAGTGGAATGGCAATCTCTAACACAAGTTTACTGCAGACGTGCGTGCAACCGGTATCTGCGGATCCGATGTGCATTTTTGGAAGAAGGGACACATTGGTGACATGGTGGTGACTGGTGAGTACACGGCGTGTCGTGAACGGCCGCGATGACACATTTTTTTTGACTGATGGGAGAAAAACAGGAGAAAATGGTCTTGGACATGAGAGCTCTGGCGTCGTGATTGATGTTGGCCCCGGAGTCACAAAATACAAGCCAGGTGATCGCGTGGCGCTCGAGTGTGGTATTCCGTGCATGAAGGCGACCTGTTACTACTGCCGCATCGGCCGCTACAATGCCTGCCCTGATGTCGTCTTTTTCTCGACACCTCCTCACCATGGTACCCTGACCAGATATCACGTTCATCCCGAGGAGTGGCTGCACCCATTGCCGGATGAGCTCTCATTTGAAGAGGGTTCCCTTCTTGAGCCACTGTCCGTCGCCTTGGCTGGCATTGACCGGTCAGAGCTGAGATTGGGCGACCCCATTGTCATTTGCGGTGCCGGCCCCATTGGACTGGTTACCCTGCTCGCAGCGCATGCAGCAGGAGCAACCCCCATTGTCATCACTGACCTGGACGAGTCTCGTCTCCAGTTTGCAAAGAAACTCATTCCTCGAGTTCGGACAGTAAAGGTGGATACCAAGCTCGGCTCCAAGGAGGTTGCAGACGAGGTCAGAAAGACCCTGGGTACAGAAGCCAAGCTTGTTTTCGAGTGTACTGGTGTTGAGTCGAGTGTGCAGACCGGAATTTATGTGAGTTCTTAGTTACCCAATTTTCCCTTGACCGTAAAGTGGGTATGATGTTAATCACATGTCTATAGTCGTGCCGCTTTGGAGGAATGGTCTTCATTATTGGATGCGGAAAGGACTTCCAGACTATGCCCTTCTCGTACATGTCAGCACGAGAGATCGACATTCGCTTTCAATACCGATACCATGACACCTACCCGAAGGCGATTGCCCTGGTCTCCGCCGGCCTCATTGATTTGAAGCCTCTGGTCACGCATCGCTTCACATTGGAAGAGGGAGAAAAGGCCTTTGCTGCAGCATCAGACCCATCTGCAAAGGCAGTCAAGGTGCAAATTCTTGATGATTAGAGCGGCGATAACATTTTAAGCGACGAAGGAAAACAGGATGTTGGCGGAAGCCATTCCAGATAGTTCCCGTTTGTTAAAACCCAGAAATAAGCATCACATTTCCCAACCCTTTCAGGCCATGGTCTGGCTGTTGAAATCGAGTGAAATGGCATTTATTCGACAGACTGTTGCTTTTCCAGTACAGAGCTTGTCCATTCCATCGAAACGTTCACAGGTCGTGCCGCAGAGCTGCATCTCAGGATCCCAAGTACCTGCAGCTAATTTTGCTCATGTGAGCCTGCGCAGCGGGGCAATGACAAGTCTCGTGGGGACTCGGCCTCTTTCTGATCTATAAGAATGCTTTTTGCGTCGTTTCTGTACATGAAAGGGCGCTGCTAAATCAGTATCGTTTGCATTCTATTCGAAAATGTCGCTCAATGACTTTCGCGCCGCGTGGCCAGCTTCACGGGCATGCGTGGCTGATTTTATGAACGGCGTCTCCCTAAATGCTCATGACTTCATTCGAGCGCTCCAGATTGTAGATTGCGCCAAGCGACTACTTACGCCTGAAGAGTTGGTAGAAGCTCTTGCTACGGATACGCAAAATTGCTCCATCAATGAAGATAAGAAGGCCAGATTTGGAGACGGTAGGGGACTGCTGGTCGACCACTGCCAACTTGGAACGATTGGCAAGACCCAAGCGGAGGGCCAGGGTCCAATATACTGGGATAAGACGAGTCAAATGTATTGTGCCCATGTGATCAAAGGGACACGCGGGAAAGAGACCGCTGCGGATGCTTGGCTTTGGGATGCAGAAGCTGAATGCGCCAAGGTGTGTCTTGCATACCTCGAGTGCCACCCTGAGCCCTACCACAAGCGACAAAGCTCGTTTGTCGTGTACTGTGCCAAATACTGGCCTTCTCATATCAAAGCCGCTCAGAACAATGAAGTGCTCAACAAAAGGGTCATGGACTTTTTGACCACACCAGCAGCGGTGGAATCGTGGCTCCAGGTATACGACGACGAGGACGCAACCTTGAGGGAGGTTCTCGTACCGCGGCGGTATGATTGGCTACCTGCCAGTCGAAGCCCGCTGTACCATGCCGTCTTTCACTCATTACCTGTGTACACTACTTTGCTAATGCAATCGACGATTGAGGTACGAGACAAGGAAGAAGCGCTTTATGCTGGGTGCTTGATCGGGAACAGTGATGCTGTCAAGGCACTTCTCGATAATGGCACAGATCCAAATGCGGAATATGGCCCTCTGGAAAGTACTTTGGCCGCCGCTGCAAAAGGCGGGAATATCGACATTTTCAGAATGCTCACCAGAAGTGGCGCCAAGATACCTTCTGATACTGATGACAGCCATCCTTTGGCAGTTGCCGCCATACATGGAAACTTGGACATCATGGAAGAAATCCTCCAGACGCAGGACTGGGATGCCAAGCAGAGTGTCCTAGGCTCCTGCCTTGATTCTTTATCGGCAAGATTGGATGGCGATAGGAGAGAAGAGGCGCTAGCAGTCCTTCTGAAGCATGTTGAAAGATCCCAGAAATATGTGTAAATCAATAGTTGCTGCCTCTTCGGTCTAAGCTTTCGATACGCCAATCCGCCTTTCATTCATGGGCTCATCCTGTCCTTTCCGATCCTTGCTTTCTTGGACTGTTCACTTTTCCTTTGTGGACTGAGACAAGTGGGACATTAAAGAACCATCAGACATGACTCAATTATGGGATTTGCGTGTCTTCTCCACGACGCTCTTCCATCTGGTTCTCACCAGGCGCAGTAAGCCCCAAGCAATCAATCTATAGATCACGACGACCGCAGCAAGCACACCTATGTTGATTGGCCCATTCTGATTTAGCTTGTACAGGTTCAGTACCTCTTCGCCGGTCGAAATATTGCAATCTCCATTAGGCATTCTTTGAGAATCATTGCACGTGAACTTTACCCCTGTAAGGCTGTAGTGTGCAAGCGCCGCGGTTGCATACTTCAACGGACTAAGATAATTGAAGGCTTTGAATAGCTCGGGCATGTCCTAGTCAACACACAAGTCAGCTTCAAAATTCACCAGGATCGCAGTAATGATATTGTAAATCGTCTCTCATCTTGCCACTGCGATTGGGACAAAACTCAAAGACCTGGGAAACAAGACATGAATTGGGCACCATAAGTACGTACTGTGGCCGAGAATCAGTATTTGGTTATACAGTAGAAAAAAAGCGAGAAAATTGTGGTACTCCTGAACTTACCAATTGACATGATGCCGGACATAGTCTGAGAAACGCTCAGCAAGATGGAAATGACGTTGACCGCGAATCCGGTATGGTTGAACAGGGTGTTGAACATGATTCCAAGACTTTCACCACAATTTACAATGGCAAAGCAGCAAAAGACGCAAATGAAATACATCTCGGCTGTGCGTGGAAGGCCAACAGCAAAGTCTGCAAGAACCCCGAAAATTAAACACTAGTAAGGAGGAATGTGTTAGCTTTTGTATTTTTCTCTAATGCGTGAAAACCTGTAACCGAGCCAACGGCCCTTCTCCTTTTGGTGGTACTTACTGAAATAATTTCAAACGGGACCTCGAGAATGGTGTAAGTAGCCAAAAATGCCTCGACACTGTATACCGTATCGTCATCTTCTCGATAAAAGACTTCCCGCTCAGCCGGATAAATGGCGACATTTTGGAGCATCCCTACAAAATAAAAGGCACCGACCTCCTGCACGAAGCCGACTCGATTTTGTATTGATGGGTAATCATTGTGCAATGGAGCAAAGAAGAGTGACAGTACCAGAGCGAGCCCAAGGACCTGCATAATTCTCGCAAGAATTAATGGGGGTTGACGCCGGATGTTGAGCATTGCGCGATGCATGAGTAAAGGAAACGCGGTGGCAAATGATGTACGTTTACGCGCCATGGCACCAACCTCTGCTGGACTAGCCAATGTGGTCCTGTTGAAAGGCTTGCGTTGAGGTGTTTCAGCTGGGCGCTTTTCAGAGGGGGTGGCTGCAGACGAAGGATCAGCATCAGGTGCAGATTCTTGATTCATTGAGTTGGCTCTCTCTGTAACGTCGGATGATTGTTGTTGCTGATTAGAGTTTGCTTGAGGCTCAGCCTCTGATGCCTCATCAACCTGGTCCAGACCTCCTGGATTGGATCCAATGGTGTCGCTATGGATATTGGTCTTGCTGCAATCTCTCCAGGCTTCAACGAGCCTTCTAACCTTTTCTCGGCTTTCTACCTCTCGTTTCTCTTCTTGGAGATCGATGGTGATAAGGTCTAGGGCGTAATCTGCTGGATTGGTGTGTCGAGGACATTGGTGGCCAAGATTACCGAAATACCCGAGCATATCTTTGGCGGCTCCCGCGAATACTGGTGAGCCACCTCGTGCCAAAAGCAGCACGTTGCCAAAATGCTTGAATAAATCTGATCTTGCTTGATGTATCGTCAGGATCAACGTTCTGCCTTCGTTGGCCAATCCATGGAGGACCTCGAGAATGTTGTTGGCAGTGAAGGCGTCCAAACCAGAGGTAGGCTCATCTAAAAGCAGTACTCTGGGGTCGGTCAGAATTTGCACCGCAATACTGACGCGGCGCTTTTCGCCTCCTGAAATGCCCTTGATGAGATCACTTCCCACGAGATTATTTGCGCAGTCCTTCAATCCCATCTTTAGAAGAACTTCTTCAGCTCTGTCGTATTTCTGTCGCTTACTCATCCACGAGGGTAGTCGTAGACCTGCGGCAAACCGTAACGTCTCACGAACAGTGAGCGACGGCAACAGTGCATCATCATCTTGAGAGACATATGATACGACAGAACGGATTACCGAGTCAGATGGCACTGCTCCGTTGAATGTGAGCTTGCCTGATGCGAGGTAGCGTGTCCCGAAAGATCCGTTAAGACGTAGCGCCATGCTATTAAGAAGGCTGGTTTTACCAGAGCCCGAAGGTCCCATCACGATATTTAACGAGCCCGCCTGGAATATGGCATTCACTGGGTTCAGTATGGTTTTCGTTGATTGCTTCTTTCCCAGAAAAGATCGCTTGTCCACAACCAGTCCAAAGTCACTCAGGCCGACGTCAATTGCCCGTACTTCTTGGGTTGGCACTGCATTCATCTTCTCCTTGCCCAAGGAAAGATCCTTGTCAGAATTTCTCGCTCGTGCAATCGTCATTTCGACCCTCAAGTATGCTAGCCCAACCCACGATGTGATGAGAAAGAGACCGACGAATCCTACCATGGCCAAAATGGGTCGAGCGATCCAGTTTTTCGGGAACCCAAGGTTGTCCATGATATAAGCTCCCGTATAAGATGCGCATCCTGGGTTGTCAGCACCGCCCTCTAGCGGGCAGTTGTAGAAGTTATTTTCAAACTCGTTGCCACATAGCCCACCAAAAGCGTAATACTGTACACGTCAAGAGTTAGTCTTTAGCATGTCGTCTTGGTTACAAACCTCAATGCTTACAGTGTAAGTGGCGTATTTAAGCCATCGTACGTAGACTGGGATCGTGTTGCTCTGAATGAAATAGCCGCAGGCCATACTCTGGAGGGTATAGGCCAAATTGCCAATGAGACTAGCCCCAGGAAAGTGTCGAACTGCCGCCACCGCAGTCATTGCCAGCATGATGGCAATGTAATGATTCAATAGAATGATGGAGAAGAACGTGAAGAACTTGCCGGCTTCACGGTCAAATCCCACCATGAAATAGAGAATGACACTGTATAAGAACGGAACGGGAATATCCTCTGTGAAGAAGCCAGCGATTCGGCGGGAAAGGATGAATGGGAGTGCCGTGACACACCCTTCATTGTGTTCACGATCAAAGGTGGGAATGTCGTTTGTCAAGCGGTACGTCTCGAACATCAGGTAAAGGTAGCCTTGTAAGCCAACCGACGAATAGAGAGCACCTTCTCGAGACCTTATGCCGGATTGGTCTCGAGGCAAGGCATAAAAAATGTAGCCCAGTATGATTGACATGGAAATGGCTTCGCCAATTGATCCTGCCATGCCCATGGGATCCCGCACCGTCACTTTCAGATTTCGGTCTGTCAGGACGCGAATTTGGCGGCAGAAGCCAGCGTGTTGGCTTTGCGCGCGCCTTGCAGGTTTATTTGATACTAGACCTTGATCCAAGGCCGGAGGGAATCGCATTGGCCTTTGTTCGTTCCAAGCCGCTTTGAGTGCGTGCACTCGTACTGTTGATTCCTCTTCCAGTTCGGGTGTCCTATTATCAATGGCAGCCTGGTCGATGTAGTACTCGGCTGGATTGACAAATGGTGGTATTTGGTATCCGAGGTCCGAAAACCATGGCTCGCATTCACTCCTGGGCCCAGAGAATACCGGTGATCCCCGGGACAAGAGAATCAAGTTATCAAACAGGCCCCAAATCTCCGAACGGGGTTGATGAATAGTGGTGATGATAGTTCGGCCTTTTTGGGCAAGAGATTTCAAAGTCTTGACGAGTTGGTATGCACTCGTGGCATCGAGGCCGGTCGTTGGCTCGTCCAGGAAGAGAACTGACGGATTCGCAAGCAATTGGACACCAATACTCGTTCTTCGTTTCTCGCCTCCGGAAAGACCCCTGCGCTGGCTATTACCCACTCTCGTGTTGGCACACTCTTTAAGACCCAGTTCTAGGATAACTTCTTCCACTATACGCCATCGGTCCTCCCTTGACACTGCCCGAGGAAGTCGCAGGTCTGCCGAGTACCGCAGAGTTTCTCTGACCGTGAGCGATGGAATGAGAATGTCTTGTTGCATGACGTAGGCTTGATTGATAGAAGTCACACCCTTTTGTCCATTGAAAAGAATGCTCCCAGCTTGCGCCAGCCTGCCACTGAAAACTCGCTCAGCAATGGTGTTGAGCAAGGTGGTCTTTCCAGAACCGCTGCCTCCAAGTATAGCCGTCAAGCTGCCGCTAGGCAATGTCGCATCAATTGAGCTGAGCAGCGGCTTGACATTGTGTCTTGTGTCTTTTTGCCCAGATAGTCTTTGGAATAGCTCGGGATATGTTGCAGGCTCTAGCAATGAAGGGGATGTGTCGACTTGAACCGAAAGATCTCTAAGCTGGACATTGACAGGATCAACATCATCAAGGGATATGTGGCCAACAATAGAAGGCACCCGTTGCTCTTGATATGGATGCCCTACATCCATTGATGCGGATATGGAGGTGCCAGGCTCGAATTCTTCCTTCTCAGCTTCGAAGTGAGCTTGCTCTCGGGCAGGCATATTTGTCTCCATGGTGTCCATCTGTCGTGCCTTTCGGTGCGGGTAACCGTGAGCCAGAATGTCGATGATGATTTATTTCACCAAGCCCCATGTGCTCGAGTTTATGATGAAGTCTATTCGCCCGCTTGCACCTTGCACTAGATTATGATTTCGGCGCTTGATACAGTGTATAAGCTGTGTGGCGTAGTTCTAAATTCAAAATCCAAGTATCATGAGCTTGGGATGGTTCCTCATCACGCCCGTTGAAGAATCGCCCAGGTTGAAAAGGGAATAATGTTCGATCAGATTATAGCATGATGTGCGAAAAAGGTGAAGTAATTTGTGTTTCTTTCTTTAGACCTCGTACAGGGCCAAGACCGCTGGCCCATGGAGGAAAGATTCAAAGACAATCGAAGCAAAGTATGTGCCAGTAGGGAACGGTATCCCGAGCTGCGATGCTTATTGTGAAGACAAAATATATCAACCTTGACCCCCCTTGAGAACCACGGAATGGAAACCCTGGAGAGGGACCAAGAAGAACAGTGGGGGCTAGGCACGCCAGGCCCCTGCTAGGGTTGACATTTTAGCGGTCTGGTCCAGCTACAATACCACTCGAGGTTAACTGTGGGGGTTGTGTCGTGGCGCTTCAGTTGTCGTGCCGAGATGGGATTTGGCTCTTTGAGAATGGTACCGTCCGTCACTTGACACTGTAAAGGTTGCGAACTCAGTCTGACAAGGAGTAAGACTGCTACAGTACCAGCTCTCCATCTCACTCGTCGCACATCGGGCGCGCGAATCCATCCGAAGAAAACGCGACTTGCTAAGCGAGGTCGAGTCGCGTTGGTACGCCAAGTCCTGAAGGGAGCCGAGGTACCATGGTTTGGAGGTACAGGATACGGGTGGTATATTTCGTAGCTACAGAGTATTTGAGTCTGCAAAGATGGCACCGGGAACATGCCCTAGAGTCTTTAAGCTCAGGCTCATCCTTGCTGTCACCAGCTCACCAACGCACATTGGCGGAGCTGGATCGTGGGGTTCATTGTTCTGTCGATTATCAAGATGATGAGGCTATGGGCGTGGAAGTTGGAGAGCAATAAAATGGTGGTTAGCACACACACACACACACACACACACACACACGCCTGGTCTTGGAGTCGTGTTGTAATCTTTTGGCTTGTTTGTCCGTATCGGACAGCCCATACAAAGTGAATACTAGTTTGAGTCAATAATCGTACGGTCAAGGAATGCCGGGAAGGAAATGCTCCGAGGCCCATGAACCGTGTTGGCGTCACATTCGGTACCGGGGAGACTCTTGCCAATTTTGGGCGTTCGAAGCCTGAAGGAGCGAGCCTCTAGGCAGGTACTTGATTCACAGTCTAATTGGTCAACCACCAGAAATCCTTGCATCGGCATTGAGCTCAAGAGACGCAGCGCGAGACGGTATCAAAAGCAAAGAGAAACGGAGGGTGAGATTGTACAAATTTCTCAACACGCGCGAAAGTCAGTGATGAAATGTCGCTTGGAATTTCCGAGGTTGAGAGCTTCGGTTAGGGATCGCCCCGATCTAGTGTTCGGCGACCCGAGGCTCTACAGTGCTTCAGTCACTAAAAATGCCGCCAACCTAGAACTTGCAGGGTGCCCAGAGCAAGAGACTTTCCGTCGCACGGACGCAACACATTAATCCAATGTTTCTCTTGAGCAGCTCAGCTTGACGATTATGTTGATTGTCCTGTTCAAGTAAAGTAAAGCTCTAAATTATATTATGGTGTCACTCTTCTGCTTCAGAGCTGTGCAATACTTGCTTCCTGCCCGAATCTCGTCGCCTTTCCAGATAAACCAAAAGGGGATTGCGCACATCAAGGCACTTAGCCCTGCCAGGAAGCTGCATGCGCCAGCGATGCCCAGTCTATCGAATAGAGGTAACGTCGCAAACGGGAGAGCGACAGCCAAGAGTGATCTGCACATGCTCGCAACGGCGTGGGCAGATGCCGCATAAATCTCATAAGCATCACTAAGGTAATTCAACAAGGCCATCATGATGAATTGAAAACCAAAGCCAAACAAGAGCCCAGCCAGCATAGGGACCACAAAATGCACACCGTTTCTGCTTGTCCAGCCTAGCCAGAACAAGGACACCACGAATAGCGGCCCGCCGAGACAAGCCAGGGGCAACCGCCGGGCTTCCTCCCGTAAAGCCCAGGGAACATGCCTCGCTCGCAACCGTCTGAGATACGAATCGTACCAGTAAAATACCGGGAGTGTGCAAATCGCACCGAGGCCAATGGGCAAGAAACACAACCCAGTGACCCCAGGGGAGAGGCTGTAGAACTCTTGGAAAATGATTGGATAGGCTCTAAAGCTCATATAAAAGATCGCATACACGAGCGACAGATAAGCCGAGCAGCACATGACAATAGATTCCGACACTAGCATCCTGATTGGTCTCGTTAAAATAACAGTGATAAAGCGTGTAGGAGTCAATGGATCCCGTTCCGATGCTGCAATCACGTTCAACGACGAATCTTGCTTTCTCATCCGTGTCGCCTTGTTCGATAATAATCTCGGGCTAAATGTCTCTGGAAGGAAGCACAAGAGTATAAAGCTGAGCACAGCGTAGATGAGGCCGATCCAGAAACACCATCGCCAGCCAATCGTAGGTGCCGTCCAACCCGATATGATAGGTGCAAAGATGGGCCCGAGAATGGTTGTTGCATTAAAAAACGCCATTGCTCGTCCTCTTTCGACCGGTTCTCCGTATATATCGGCGAATATGCCCGTCGTGATTGCGAGCGGAGAGCTTGCAAATGTGCCAGCCAAGAACCGAAATGCCAACAGGAACGACCAACTTGGAGCCAGTGCGCATGCCAGGACAGAAGCACAATAGCATATAAAGGTTCCCAATAGGAGCCATCGACGACCAAAGTGCTCACTCATGGGACCCCAAATGAGCGGACCAAAGACGTAACCAACTAAATATGTCGATATTGGCAAGTTCTGTTCGTTTTGTCCTTCAACACCCCAATCTTTGGTTATAAAAGGTATCGCTTGACTGGGCAGCGAACTTCCCATCGTACTGTTGAGCACAATCACCATATTTGTGATGACAATCAGTCTCTTTCTCCATAATGGCCAATTATTTGGGTTCTCAGCATCATCCACTTTCCATCGGATCACTTCGATGGAATGATCTCGGCGGGACTGACTTGCCGGAGCGCCATCTTTTGCTCCGCTATTCGCTCTAGCACTATGCGAAGACGAACCTGCTACTTTACCAAGGTCAATCAGAGAAATCTGGGTGCAAGGGCGACATATATTCTTACCATGATGACTTGGGCCAGGCAGATCCTGGCATCCGATCTTCTCGTTTGTTTCTAGCATCATCCTGCTCATCTCACGCGGAATTGGTGAAGCTATAGACAATCGTGATTTTGGGTCCAAATCTGGCTTTTTCGAGGATTTTCAAGTCACCCACGCAATGAGCCACTTTTGTAATCCAAACGCAATCAACAATTTGCCTTCAACAATTGTGGCCATTTGAAGCGAGGATGCCGTCAGGGGGGTAAAGACATAGGCTAAGTAGAAAGCCGATGACAAGAGGCAGCCGAATTCGGAGAAGTTATGCATTCGATTCCGCCGAAATAGAAAATCTCCAAAAGCAAAGCATGCTGTAGGACTAGCTGCACCTATAGCGGCACTATAGGAGGGTCCTGCTCGTTTGCGCAAAAAAGATAAGTATTTAATTCCAGTGTAAAAGATTACTCATGTATCTGACTGCAAGATGCTGTATTGAGTTGGATGTAATTACTGTTTAATCCAATCAATGTTTCTAGTGAACTTTTTTCACTCAATACACATGTTTATTTCTTATTTGATAGTCTATGCAATTGGTATGAATACTAACAGTAGCCAATCTATACTCTTACTTGATGTGCCAAATGATTTCAATTGAGCCAACGACAGGGCATATACAGTCCAAGCAGATATCGTTGGTGCAAGCGAAAAGAATATCATCCACGTTGGACAGAAGTATTGCAATAGTCGAGCCAAAATAGTCACTCAATTGATCAACTATCGACAGTAGTTGTATTTGGCAATGTCTTGCTTGAAGGACCCCCGCAACGCAATGAACTGAATAGCGTTTCCAGGACCTAAATTGCTGGCAGAGCAGACCCATCTTTATTGTCTGCCCCGTCCTTACCTGGCTGCCTACCTACACACTGTATGCACCGACGCAAAACCTTTCGGGTCACAAATTTTTCTTAATACCGTACAATTTACCGTATCTTTTCTGTAGAAACCCCACTGCTGTCGTGGGTTCGGATGACGCAAGTATTCAATGAAACAACGAGGCGCGGACTCACCTTGCTAAAGTATGCTCCTACTTTTGGGTCCAGCTTTTTGAAGGCGAGCGAATTTCAATAAGTCGTATTGCTCACCATTTTTTATTTGAACTTCTGAAGAAAATAAATCATCCTACGAGAGGCTCGTAATGTAATGCACCAATGTATCGCGCCACGCTGCATCGAAGCATTAACCAGAGGCCTCTGACTGGCCGCCAGGGTGTCTGGCATGGAGTGATTGGGGCGGCCATCCTAGGAACATTAGCTACTGTGATGGGAGCAGCTTATAGTAGGGGCGGAACTTTTGCCTGATAACTGACGTTCTGAACAGCGTCTCGCATGACTAATCTCGATCCTGAAATACCTGTGGAAATACTAGCACTCTCGTCATATGGCGGCAAGCTGGAAAGTTCAACCATTTTATCAACCTCGAACGAGGAAACCGATCAAGGTTGGGTAAAGACGGGATTGTGTAATAAGGGGTTTTCTTCCTCTCTATCTACCTATGAGATGTGAATGCAAGAGTTATACGGCGAGGATCATCCAGCAACGCCCAATATTAAAAACGCAAGCGTGAGTTAAATATGAAAAGATGGTCGAGAGCTGACCCCAGGTCAGTATGTTTAGCAGATATTATTATTTTGTCACCCAGACGCCTAGCCATGCAACCGTTGCTCGTCCCGTTCCCCGCTCCGAAATGATATTTACCGCATTGTTGAGCTGGTTTGTTTTGGTAGTATTCACCATATTACCGGTCTCCGTGTACCGAGACGGATGGTACGTGGCTGGTAGGTGGCGGGCTACCTATGTGATCGCTCATGGATGCAACAGTAGACAGGGCCACACCGTTGGCGCCAAAGCGTTGCTCCTGGTCGCTGTCGTTCATGACTGAGGATGTGCGACTCGTAAAGTAGGCGCCTTCCTCGGCCGATCGCACAGCATCCGATGGATTTGCCAGCGTCGGGTTCTCATAACCGAGTGAGGAGAGGATGCGCGTTGTCATCTCACGCTGCTTCTCGCGCAGCTCGTGGTTGGGGTTCTTGGTTGGGTCGTTCACCTCGTCGCCGTCCTGGCCAGGGTTTGCCATTTCGTACTCGAGCACCTTGATAAAGAGGTAGAATGCGATGGCAAAAATGGCTCCCATACCGGGGCCAACCCAGTAGATCCAGTGCTCGGGATCAAATTTGCCAGAGACAATGCAGGGACCAATGCTGCGGGCTGGGTTTAGAGAACCTCCAGTGTAGTAAACTCCGACCAGCTCGGCAATGAAGAGAGCCAGACCGATACCAACGGGAGCAATAAAAGTTGAGCGATGCTTCTCCTTCGCCAGCATGAGAATTGTAAAGACGAGCTCGGCTGTCATGAATGCCTCGACAAAGAGACCTTGCGCAATAGATGTGCCATCACTGAGCGTGGTACGCACACTAAATGGCGTGGGGAAGATGGCAACAATAAGTGCTGAAGCAGTGATACTGCCCACAATTTGTGATAAGAAAAGGATGACTGCTCTCGTGGCGTCAATTGCCCGAGTAGCCCAAAGAGCGAGTGTAACCTACAGGATTAGCCATTAGCGATCGTTCAATGATGGAAAAGAGCTTTACTTACAGCTGGGTTGAAGAGACCACCCGAGATACGGAAGAAGACCCAAACATTGACCATGAGACTGAAACCGAAGGACACAGAGATGTAGAGCATGACTATAGGGTCGAAACCAGCGGTGGCGTTTGTTGTAGTTGCCTCTGCCGGTGTCTTGGTTTGGGCATTGGCGACCTGTGTTCCGGCAAAAGCGAAGAACAAGAACATTGTAGTTCCGACCCATTCGCCGAGCGCAGCCACGAAGTGATTCTTGGCCTCACTGTTCATCCACATGGTCCACGGAAGCCTGGTGGGAAGAAAGTTATCCGCCTCCCTGTTTGGTCGGTTCACGTGACGGCCCATGTTTGGAGGCACGTAGCTGTGACGGTTGTCTCCAATGATGTCGGCATAGTTGAACGGCATGTCACCGCTACGCCACGAGGCTCTGTTGTTGTTGCCACCAATGGCACCCAGCTTGGCTTGTTTATTTTGCTCCTTCATGTCATAAAAGGACATGGGCCTGCCGCGGGCGGCGAGGAACTGGTTTGCAGACGGTCCAGCCGCCTGGTCAAAGTACGCTGGCTGGTGCTCACGGTCGTTGTCCGAATCCTCAGCCATCTGGGGCGTGAGAGTATGTGCAGTGTGAGCAGTGACTGAAGTATTCATGCTGTTGGTGCGCCCAGGCCGGACTGGGGGCCTCCTAGCTCCAGGCGACCTGGCCTCGAGCGACGCCAGCGCCTCTCTGTCCTCAAAGGATGGTGGACGAGGACCTCGTGATCCCGGCATTGCTATGTGCTGTGGTTTGTTTGCCGAAGGCGTTCCGAGGGTAGGACGATCGTGGGGTGCTTGACCAGCGTCTTGAGAATAACTATGTGATTTCCGGATCGGATAAGGAGCGACTACTGGGACGTCAACGTGCCGCAGCTGTTCGTAAGAAATGTTGTCTCGACTTGAGCCAGCCATTTCGAAAAGAAGCGCCGTGCTTATAGAGAGCTCGACTATATACGTATCGTCAATCGTATTACCCCTTTCGAAGCAGCGACCCAGATGTCAGATTTAGAACAGGCTTGTGCTTTTGATAGCTTAGGCTTCGCCGAAAGCTGAAACAGGTGGACTAATTTTGACGGATGTTTAGGACGTGATATTAGCTATGCTGGCTTAGAGACGGACTGTGTGCCAATATTATATACTGCGAAGCTATGACCATCACGGTTCAGATGCGAACACAACGTTGCTCTGTTTCCTAACGCCGGTCGTTGTAGAAACAGCACAATCATGATTGATACGCCTATGTCTGTTGTCCCGCCATTGCCACCTGAGGGGTGCAAAGAAGGCAAGACAAAAAAAAATCTTCAGGCGAACAGCGGTGGCGGGGAAAGAAAAAAAAAACCAGGCGCCGGTGAAGCTACGAGCGATAGTATCATGGGTGTCGTTGTCTCTCGCCTGACAGATTTAGATGGCCGCAGCTATACTCGAGCAGGGAGACCCCAGAGCTGTTCAGGCACTGGCTCAAAACTCATTCAGCATACCTAAATTCAGACGCTAGGACACGCACATCCTCATTGGCATTCGTTATTCTGAAACCAATCTTTAGAGATGAGACTAGCAGCCACTTGAGATGAAGACACTGCACAAAAGCCACCATCGTGTCATTATGTTCATTTTGCTCTATTTGCTATTTTCTGCTAGAGGCCTGCTACAATTATTGGCAATTGAGGAACTACCAATTGCTGGTACTTCCGTCGAAAGCTCGTGCCTGTTCTTGGCTCTAGTCAGTTCTTGACTCGTGCGGTTATTTGCAAAGAACCTTCTATGAAGGCGCTAGAAGAATATTTTCGCGTAGTAGCTCTTGTCTTGCGAACCGCTAAGCAAGACGCTACACCAAGAAGCACGCGCTATCAGCCTCGAGATGATGAAAAATGGGACCGACAGGATCATGGACACAGCAGATACCAGCCAAAGGGCTGAGCGAAGCTGCGGCGGTCCGCCTTAGATGCGACATCTCTGCTCAGCATATCCTGGCGGCTCGACCGAGACTGTAGGGTCGACCCGTGATCCATGCCACGAAGACCCGAAACCGCGGATGGCCAACGGGAAGCCGGCAGTCAATAAAGAGATCCTGAAGCGGATCTTTGCAGATTTCACAGTGGTCCACGTGCCTCGTGGGAAATACGGGGGAAGCCCTTCACCTAGACACAGAGCGTCTTGTGGCCCGAAGAGCGGAAGGCTTGGTCCGGCTAGCCACCATGGAGAAGGATCTATACGTCGATCTTAGTAAAGGCGTATGGTACCTGCATATCTAGCCCAAGCGGCCCTACGCGGCCCTACACGGCCCTACGCATCGAGTACTAACTTCTGACTATTGTTTGTCCCTTGACATCTTTCTCAATTAGGGCAAGACAACCTATACAGACGAAGAGAGAAAGTGAGGCGCTCGTAACCCCGAACGTTAGCGTCACGTACTCACATATCACCAAGACACTAACCCCAAGGTAATGAAACCATGGCAGGTATGAGCCAGATGAATCGAACTTTCATGTCAGCAAATCAAAATCATTCACATCATCATAAGAGTGTAATTACACAGACGGCCAAACATCATCACGGAAGTTGAAATTTGATTGTCACGTTGACACTCGAGGACGGGAGAGGTCCCCCAAGCAGCCCTTGGTGCCCTCAAAGAGTAAATTTCGTCCTCTTCAATCCTCTCATGCTTTACTCGTGATTCCTATGCTCCATGGGGCTCCGCCACCCTTGACGAGTGCCAGTAACAGAATCATTGGCAGAGGGCGGAATCGGAGCCGCAATTTTGACATGTGAATACTCTATGTAGAAACCGAGGCCTTGGTGTGGTCAAAATAGTCGTTCTCCGGGAAGAACTCGGATCTTTTCGTGGCCTCGATCGGTTGTCAGTGGCGACCGAAGGCACAGCCCGCATCTCGGGAGCCCTAACTTTGCTCAAAAGCCAGGGCCAAACATGGGAACCGTCAAATATCTGTAAAATAGATATGGATAACCATGTATGCTTCGGAGAAAAGATATCGAAACTTTGCAATCAATTGCCCGATGACGCTTAAGATACATCGTTATCCTAGTCATTTGAACCGGGCTTTGGAAAGGCTTTCAAGAGAAAGGTTGAATTTTTTTCATCGCCCCAGGGGAACGGCTAGGCTAGGGGCTTCATTGTACATCGTCAAACATTAAGAAACTGCGATTTCGGGGTCGCTATGAAGCCTCACTTTTTCTCGGCTCTTGTTTCTCCAAACCTACAGAATCGTATAAGCGGGTCTGTGAGGTGGTCAAAACTTTGCCACGGATCGAATCCGAAAACTCTAATAATTGGCCAATACTTCTTCTGTCCAAGACCACTACAATAACTTGTGTTAGCAATTACCTATTCGGGTAGATAAATGAGTTTGAAGCAGCTCTTTTGGGCCATTCGTCTGAGTATGCTCTTTTGCAGCACCAATTTGGCCAATGCTTGCTCATGAGACAGCCCAGAGAAGGGGAGAAATGACATCGGAAGTTGCTTACCAAATTTTCTCCTAGCTCAGTGTCTTTGGCCACATCATCCAGCATGTCGTTGCTCAAGACCCCGACGGGCCTATAGAAAGCACCGTTCACCAAGTCTCCCCTTTTCGCTCCAGCAGCTGCCCAAAGCTGATTGAGACATCCTTGCCACTCCTCCATCAGCGACACGCCCATGAGATACTGGCTTACGTATACGACAGCCTTGCGAGCTACTGATAGATTATTAACCAGATCGGTCTTGACAACACCCGGGTGCACAGAGACAGCCATGATCGTAGAGTAGCGTCGTGCGAGCTCGCGCGCATACACAATGTTTGCAAGCTTGCTTTCTCTGCCCATTCGAAGAGATGCGTGTCAGCTAGTCTCACAAAATCATTGTACAGGGTAACAGATTTGGATTTCATCGTTTCACCAACGCCCCTCTTGAACTTACCCATAGTGATAATATGATCTCAGGAATCCTGGCTTGGCATTGCGGAGATCATCAAAGTCGATGCCCCTCTTCGAATGAAGTTGCCAACCCAACGACGTCAGGTTGACTATTCGTACATCGGACTCGAGCTTCTCAGCCGTCTTCAACAAGATTGGTAGAAGTTGTTTGGTGATCATGGCATTACCGAGATGATTGGTTGCGAAATGCTTTTCATACCCATTTGAACTGAGTCCAGGCGGCTGATTCATGATACCAGCATTACATCTGTGGAGTGGTTTCATTCAGTAGGTGACTTTTCTGGCTGGAGAATGTCCAACTTACAATAGTACATCAAGACGATCGTGAGAAAACTGTGAGCAGGCTGCCTTGAGATCTGCCAACGACATCATGTCGACTTTAATAAAGGTTGCGCCCACATTTGGATCGATGCCTTTGATTTCCTCGACGACAGCCGCTCCTGCTTCCGCATTTCGACCTGTAAAATATACATGGATTGGATTATGTTTTGCAAAAGCAAGGACGGATGATTTTCCGAGTCCGGCAGTTCCTTTGCGTGATCAGCTTCTAGTACAGCAACCTCGAGCATGAGTTGTTACATACCTCCAGTAACAAAGACGACTTTGCCTTGAAGAGAAGGAATGTCCTTCTCAGGGTCAAAGTCGACCAAGCCAGATATAGCGCCGGGCATTATTTAACGTAGAATATATAAACAAATCGATAGTAATGATGTATTAGAATCGAAGACAAGGCTTGACTGTAGTCATGAAAGTCATTTTGTAACCCATTTCCATGGGCGAGAGCGTCTATATATCCTCAGTTCATGCGCCAAGGCCAAGCCCAAAGTATCTATATGCGATTGTATCATTGCTATTCTTAACAATATGAAAAATGCGTGGCATCATAGCATTACTGAGACATTGCTGATAGACGTCTGGTACTCTAGTGGGTGGCTTGGCGTCCACAATAGGCTTAGCAATATGCAGGATAAGCAGTTGGCAGCACGCTAGGTATGTAGGATCGACGGTTGGGATGCGACGGATTCTCTCGCGAGCTAGGATTTATTATTCATCTGGATGCCGCTCAAGATTATCTGATGTCGGAGACTTTTCAAATTCGGATTTTGTTCACTCGCAAGAACCATTTGACAAATTATAAAGTTCCTCCGACTGCCCGTCTATTGTCCCGAGGCCAACCGACAAGACAGCAACCGCCATTTTAGATCGTTTCCAGCAGCATAAGCAGTTTGCATGCGTCTAAACTAGGATTGTTGCAACTCCCACTTGAGAAAGCATACAGGACATATAATGGCAGCTATAGCGGTGAGATGTAGCCATCCGAGCGAGAAGCTCCTCGAGGTCAGTTTCCGACGGTATTCAATTCACCCAGACTTACTGACACTATTTGACCTAGGCACGCACAAGGGATGATGATTGGACTGGCCTCGGGAGTGCGGCCGAGCGCAGGAGAAGACAAAATCGCCTACACCAAAGGGCGTGGAGTAAGTCGTTATCTCATAAAGAGGGGCATCTCTCAAGACGCGAGTACTCACTGGTCTTTTGAATGCTAGGGCGGCGCAGGGTACAGAGGCAGGCTTCGACTGAGAGTGTGGAGCCCACATGTGTCCGTCCACAGGACGATGGTGTTGCGCCAGCACTTTCCAATAGATTGAAATTAGAGGTTGAGAGCCTGCTCAGAGCTGACTCAAGGTCTGGCAATGACCTACCATCACTGAAGCCCTTTTCATATTGGGAGCTTCTGAAAGCGGAGCGAGAAAACTGCAATGTGTCCGTGTCGAATGAAACCGAGTTATCAACTCGGCGCCATCGCCTGATCCCGCCCATGATACCTTATTCGACTGGGGCGGATTATCAGCATACTTTGCCTCAGTTCCAATTCCCTCTTGCCCCCGATCATCAGCTCATTGTGCTCATCCAGTTCAATGTGCTACGCGCCACGATGACGAACTTGGCCATCTTGTCCCTTCAGCACCGAATGCCAACCGAATGTGGCGCGGCATTTCATATTCTGCCCCTGTCCGAGGCGCCTTCCACTATCCCGCCATCGCTTCAGCCCACCATGATCCAGCTTAGTGTGCCTCACGACCTTTGGATCGATATGATCCCATTCCCGGCGATGCGGGACAACCTGATCATGCTGAGCGAGTGTGGCGATGGAATCGACGAGGATGATTTCTGTGAGGATGCGCTCGGTGGCCTGTACGAGGGCTACGACGAGATTGAGACGCGCGGGATCATTGTTTGGGGCGAGCCCTGGTGTCCGAGCGGTTGGGAGGTGAGTGCAGGCTTTGCGAGGAAGTGGGCACGTCTACTCAAGGGCTGCGACGAGCTTTTAGAAGCCACGCAGCGGTATCGTTTGGCCAGAGGTGAAGAAAGACTTGTGTTTGAAGTTTAAATAGCAAGAGCGTAATAGCTGGTCGAGAAGAGAAGAATAGATTTGCGTGAGAACTATCATTCCCCAATTGATCTGCCTCTATATGCATCGCATCACCAAGACTATTGGCTTGAATGAAAAAAAAGAAAAAAAAAAAGGACTTGATAAATTATGGACATAGACACAAACATTGCTATATAATATCATGTCCCCCGAATCGGAAGCGCAGAAAAATGCCACAAATCAATCATAACTCGTGAGTTTATGATATGCTTCCATCGCACGCCATGCTATATTCGCTCAATCAATTCACCCGATGCTTTCTTGCTGCGTCGGCAACTCCAACCAATCTTGTCTGTCACTTGTAAGCTTGGGTCAAGTACTCCAACCTCGACCCCGCCAATGGCACCACACAGCTGCCAGATTTCACCACACTTGTTTACACGGTTCTCTTTTCAACAATGGCCTCGCCGACAGGAGATTCGGTCACGAAACCATGGTTGAGTCCGCCATGCTGGTAGACCTTTGTTCCCCTAAGCCATGTTTCCTTGACGCGGCCCTGGAATTTGTGGCCCTCCCAAGGCGAGCACCGGTTCTTCCAGTGCATGCCGTGGCTCTGCAACACCCACTCTTCGGCATCGTCGAATACGCAAACGTCGGCGTCCATGCCAACCTTGAGCGCGCCCTTGCGGTGGTACAAACCAACCTGCTTCGCGGTGGACTGACAACACAAGCGCACGACGTCGACCAGACTCGGCGTCTTGCCGCCCTGCTTGGCGCGGAGCGTGGAGGCAGTGTACAGTATGGGGAGACCCAGGCCGACTGAAGAGATTCCACCCCACGCAGCGAAGAAGTCGCCCTGTGCCGAAGCTTGAGTTGCCTGCTTATCCAGGTCGGCAAGCTGCAGGTCGGCCGTCACGTCGACACCCGAGTCTGAGTGGTGCATGTGAGCAGCCTCGGTGTTCTGCAGGTGCGGAGGAAGAAGCTTTAACTCGGGCGTGCATGGCGAATGATCCGATACGATGGTCTTGATGCACGAATCTTCCGCCACCAGCTCGTCCCAAAGGCCATCTTGGTTGTTTTGTTCGCGGATCGGCGGGCAGCACTTGTATCGGCAGTCTCCATCCTCTACGGACTCGGCTGCGAGTCCCAGGTAGTGGAAGCAGGTCTCGGCAGTAATGTTGACGCCATTCTTTCTGGCCTTTTTCAGTATGGGAATTGCCTGAATGGCAGAAAGATGGACAATATGCAAGTGCAGATTTGTGGCGAGATGCGACAAGGAAATGATCTCGTCAATGGCGCACGTTTCAAAAACGGGCGGACGAGACTCGAGGAATGTCTGATAAGCTTTCAGGTCTCCATGCGGCGCCAGCGGTGGCTCAGAAGCCTGAACCTTGTCGCCGACCGAGTCCGCAATTGGGGGAATCATTTCAGCATGGAACATTAATGTTGTTGGTGTTCCATTCAATGTCTTCATTGCCAGCTCAATATCCTTGGAAGAGATTGCCGGAAACTCGTCAACCTGGAGAAATGTCAATAATGGCTAAATTGTTCGTTACGCTTAGATGAACTGACACCAGACTCGATCAGAAATCCCTTGAAGCCCCGAACACCGGCCTCGACGAGCGGCAAAAGCTCATTAGCATTGCCCGGAATGACGCCGCCGTAGAAACCAACATCGATCCAGCATTGTCCCCGACTTGCGGCAAGCTTCTCCTTGAAACCTGCGACTGTGGTGGTGGGTGGGATGGCATTCAATGGCATGTCAATTACTGTAGTTACACCTCCCGAGGCAGCTGCGCGAGTACCAGTATTGAAGCCCTCCCATTCTGTGCGGCCAGGTTCGTTGAGGTGCACGTGCGCATCGACGAGACCGGGCATGAGCACCTTGGAGCCATAGTCGACATATGTGACCGACGAAGGAAAAGATGTCTTGGGCACGACAGTCTGCTCTATAGCCACGATCTTACCCAATTCGGTCGAGATGGAAATGGTGGCAGGCGTCAAGATAAGGCTGTCGTCTGGCAGAGTCAGTACAGCCCTCGTCGAAACGAGAACTGTGAGTGGTCCGGGAGCAGCATCTGCCGACATGGTCGAGTATCCTCTGTTATAGAGGTTCTAGATGCAGAAAAATCCGGGGAAACAGGGATATAGATCTCGATAGCGTTAATGGTCGTCGACGATAAAGTTGGCGAGCTGGCTTATCAGACACACACAGGTTGGTGCTTATTGTATGCAGTGGGGGTGGGTGATGACTATGCAACAGTGGCAGGAGTGTCGGACAAAATCAGAAGAACAAAGCGAGAGTTCAGGGTCCTATCGTTCAGAGATGTGTGGAGATAAGGGTCAAGAATGTGCTTGAGAAAGTGGAAGGAGAAAAGGATTCACAATGGCTTTCTTCTACGAGGAGAGATGAGATGAAGGTAGGCAGTGGATACAAGAGAGTGTTTGGCGGTAAACACGTGGAAGGCAGATGGACATGTTCCGAGATGGTGGCACTCCTTTCGGGTGAATGTGGAACAAAGGCGGAGGGCGACGACAATGGCAACGACTCGTTCTGGCTTCTTACCTCTGACGAGGCGAGCGAACCGATACCCACTTGCATATCCCGAAGCCTCTCCTTGTGTGGAGTTGGGCTGACTACCTACGGTCTACGGAGGGAGCCAGCGTTATCAAGGTTATCCGACGACGGAGACAGTTGCCGAAAAGACACTGCCCACGACCTCTTTGCCTTGGCTGTGGGTGAGAGTTGATGAGTGATGGATAAGCCAAGGCGACACAGCAATGCATTGATACTATGTATTACAGGAGCGCTAGGAGCGTTCGGGTCCAACCAAGAAGCAGGCAAGCTTCTTCTGGCCTAGATAAGCAGTTGCTTGGTTGCATCAGAATGCTATTCTGGAATGCAGGACAAAGATAGCCAAAGCCGCGGCTGGACCCCTGAGGATTTGGTCTTGCTCTATGAGTGTCGCCGTCGTTATCAGAAGCATCTGATTCGCCAGCTGCGTTGCGTGGGAGACTTCTAGAATCGGTCTAGCCCCGTTGGCCCATTGCTATCTTTCCCATTCTTTGCTGAAAACGAGCCCATCTCACAATTTATAGCGGGATGCGGGCCTTGGCGGGGTTGAGCGCAAACAGTGGGATCATATCGGACTTGACCGATACGCTTCAGTTCTTACTCCTTTGACCCAAGAAAGTCAATAGCACGTGTCAAGAAAAGCATTCAATTGCATTGATTGAAAACCCACGATATTCTCTCGATTGACGTCGTACAATTCTCGCAATTTTTTTTGTGTTTCTGAATGAGCATACACGTGTGATATTAGCAAAATGGAACAGAATAGCAAGGAAAAGTCTGGCGGCTTCTTCAGATTCCTGGCATCTTCAAATCGTCTCTCATTGCCGTGTGCCTTGAGCTTTTCCTGATCATGTCTAGTCTCACAAAAGCTAGCAGACGGTTCCGTTTTCATCTCTAGCGGCCCAACCATTCAAGTTTGACCGCTACGACTCAACTAAAAGGCGCCTTTTTTATCGAGAAACCATTTCTCGATTGAATCGAGTAAACGTCTCATATCATGGCGTAAAAATCGAGTAAGGGCAACCTCGCCCTCTTTGCCGATTGGACCTCACATTCTCTCCTGCGCTCAACATTGCCTGGTCTTACAACTCATCGCCAACCCCAGCAGTTCTCCATTTCCGATGACTCCGGCACTATGCTTGCAAACTACTACCGCGGTCGCGTCTCCACGCAACTTGCTGTCGGGTCGGCTTTCAGCCCCCGGTGGCAGAATTGGTGAAAGGCAGCAACTCAACCCAGCGATGAATACAACACGGGGAATGTGTTTCTAGTGGTGGCGTCGTGACTTGCTACTGCCGCAACACACCGTGCATGCGATGTGTCATGGATTCGAGGGCACAAGTCCAAAGCTCTGTGGCCTGCCGCGACCGGTGTTGAAGTCTTTAGGTAATGAAAAGTGAAGCTTCACACGATCTGCCGCGGCTCCGTCGTAGTGAACGGGGGCCGAGCTGCCTCTCTTGGCACTCTGGAAGATGGGATCGTCGCTTGCCAATGGAAACCTCCGATGTGCGATGGGCCCAAAATGGTAGCGTCGTCGGGCAAGAGCGCTTCCTCAAGGAGTACACCTTAAACTAGATAAGACGATATTCATTTCCAAGGGTTTTTATCGCTACAACATAGACAACGTTATAAAATAAGTGGAGCTTCCAGTGGAGCGCCAGAATTCTTGGGCTCTGATTGGCCAACTGGCCACCTACCAGCTGGAGGTCCAAAAGGAGGAGGCCCCCATAAGCCCTGGAAACTACGATACACCTTACAAAATACGGGTGCCAACATCTACTATATAG